TGTATTGTTTCATTATGTAATAGTTATAAAATTGAGATATTTTACATTCTCTTTTTGATACTAAGTCTTTGAAATATGCTGTGTGAATTTTACACTTAAAGCACACATCAGTTGGGAATGCTAGATTTTTAGACTTCAAAAGTTTGACACAATAAAGTTGGGTCTTAGGAAAAATATTTATCTTGCTTCAATTTTCAAATTAAAATTTAAAAAGTTAAATTTCGTTCCTTAGTCACACTGGCCACAGTTCATGTACTGGTGGTCACTATCAAATAGTATGGGTCTAGGGTTTCATGTGGTAGTATTTTCTCTTTCTATAGCTCAAGAGGATACTATGCTTGTTTTAATGAGTTTGACTCTTTAGCTTATTGAAAAATTTGTTTTCCTTGGGAGTCTTAAAGGAAGGAGGATATGAAAAGATGATGATAAACAAGTAAGGTTCTCTGAACAGAGACATAAAATTTAAAGGAAGAAAGCTGATGGGACTGCAAGTTAGGTAAATGAGGAAGAGGGGGAACAGTTTTGGTATCCATCCCTAGCTGAACAATATTTGAATATAAATTCTGCAAAACTCAAGCAGCCAAATGGGAAAAAAGATATAAAGTATCCAAAATAGTAGGAGAGAAAGGGATGAACTTAAAAGTAGATTTTTCTCTTCTCAGAAAAAATTATCGCTTATCATAAATATTTATAGAAATAAATAGTATTTTATAGAGTATTTTATATAGTCTTCTAAAGAATTCAGGCTGTGGTACAAATGATTATCAATTGTACCAGAAACTTTGGCCAAAAATTTTCCAATACCTTCATATCGAAAGGTAGGTACAGCATAGGCAACCCCGTTCTTTCACCATCCTCTCCTTTCTAATTGTTACTTCTCACATAGCTATTGCGGGCATCATTCATGATGGGTTTGGGTTCTCATTGCTCTCATAAAGACTAGACTTAATTTAAGGCGATATAAATTCTTTAACCATCTTATAATAATACCTAACCTTCAATTAATCATGCAAACAAGGGTGGCCTTGAGGGCGGTAAAGTCAATGGCAGTGGGCAGACAGCCCTGTGCCAACGGCCTCCTTAGGCCCGAACCAGGCACTGCCTGAGTGGCCTCAGATGGCTGTGGAACAGGCAGGGCAGTACAGGGAATGCTAACCAGTGGAGATGGGGCAGCAGCACAGTAAAGGCCTAATGGAAGTACAGTGGCCATTGCTTCCTGAGCAGTTGCTTCCTCTAACATTCTGATGCTGTGGTCCTGATCTACCAAAATTTTCTTTTTTTAAACAGAAAATCTCAAACATTGAACGACAGCAAATTCTGAGTTATTTGCTTGCTAAAACTTAGAAGAATATGTTCTCTATTTCTCTTTTGGTAAGAGAGGTAAATTTTCCTGATCACAAGTGTCCAGGCCCTCCAGAGATGAATTCTAAAGATTCCCTTTTCTTGGGGCTAGGGATTTAGCTCAGTGCTGCCACCTGTCTTGCAAGGGCAAGGTCCCAAGTTCAATCCCCGGTACAAAAAAAAAAAAAAAAAAAAAAAAAAAAAAAAAAAAAAAAAAAAGACTCTCTTTTGTAAACTCAGGATTAGAGGAGATCATGGTGATAATTGTGATAATGTGCTATTTCAAGTCAGCAGACAATTATATAGTACCCATTATGTGGTGTATTGCACTGTTCTAGGTCCTGGTGCAATGATAACGATAACTACAATAACTAAGACTGAATAAGTGCATATATAGTACTGCACATTGTACTGTTACTTATTTATTTATTCTCAGTGCTAGAGATTGAATCCAGGGCCTTCACACTGAGCCATGTCCCCAGCCCTTTTTAAAAATTTTTTAAGTTTTTGAGACAGGGTCTCACTAAGTTGCTATGGTTGGGTTCAGATTTGCAATCTTCCTGCCTCAGCCTCTCAATTTTTAAGGTATTTTTAACATTCCTATCTTCCACAGTAAATGGAGGCATAGAGAGAGTAAATGGTGGCATAATTTGGCCACATCACAAAACTAGGACATAATGTTTCCATTTCACCTAGAGGTGAATAACTTTTCAAGGTCACACAGAAGTCTCCCTCAGAGCCCCACACTCAAGCTTTAAATAAACTTGGAGTTGAATATCACCCTTGCCTCCTACAGCTGTATGACACTGAGAAATTTATTTAACCTTTCAGAGTCTCAGGTTCCTCATCTGTGGTGAGGATAACATCATCCTTAGGACTTTACAAGAATGCCAAAGCATGTAAAGTAACTAACCCAGTGCTCAGTAGACATTAGGGATCTACTCATCCAAGTGCATCACAGTTCGCACTCGCATGGCCACTGTAGTTGTCAAAATATTGAGATGCTTCCATGCCAGTTGAAGGAACGTTCCCTAGCTCCTTGAGCATCCCTGCCATCCAGCTGCTCTTGCAGGAACTCTCCATAACCCCTGGGATTGTAAGGGCCTCCAGTGCTCTGCTCTGAAGGTTTGTGCCTATGTCTCACTGGTTGTAACATATTTTTCCTATATTCTGGCTACAGATACGAGATAAGCTCCTGATTTCAGCGAAGGCACAGTCTGGAAAGGACACTGTGCAGTGATGAAGTATAATGTATACAATGGTGGATGGTGGAACAGCTCAGTTCAGGTGGACCAGAAAGCTTCACAAGAGGATACAGGCTGATGCTAGCAACCTGTGCAGGTGAGTGAGTGAGGGCATCCCTGATCATCACTTAAGTTCTTTTCGTCTCTCAGTGTTTTCATTCTTACTACCTCCACCTCATTCAGTCCTTCATGACCCTTTGCCTAACTGCTCACAACAACTTTATAATTAAGTGAACTTCAGGGCACCAATTGTTCTAGTATCCATTCTGTGGTTCTTTTAGGCAAGCTTTAGTAGGTCCCTGTGGTCCTCTCTCCTCGTTGAGACATTTAGTACTGGGGACTGAATCTAGGGCCTTCACATTGAGCTATGTCCCCAGCCACACCTACAATTGTGCAGCCCCGGCCTAATTTTCCCACATTTTCCCACTGACTTTGGATATACTCCTGACATACATTTACTAAACAAGACTTGTTCTGCTACTTAGAACTTGTGGGTCCTACCTCAGGAGTTTTTGACACACTCCTCAAATGCACTTCTTTGGGAAAACTTTCTCCCAGTTATATTCTTTCTTTCTCCAGCCTCTTCTCTCACCCCAAGATTATGTGAGGAGTAATGTGCTCTAATAACTAATGTATACTGATAGCTTACGGTATGCCAGGTGCTGTTCTAGGAGTTTGGCATGTCTGACTTCACAAAAACTCTGAGAGACAGGCACTATTATTATTTCTGTATTCAGTGAAAAAGGCACACCAGAAGAAAGAAGTGGGGCTAGGACTCCAACTCAGGAAGCATATGTTCTTTACCAGGGTTTTATAGTGACCTAAAGCTCTCAAAAGAAAGAAAACAGAAGAAAAACTTCTCATGTTATTACTCAACATACGATGCTAAGTTTTGTAATTATTCTTGTAATTATTTTATCTCCTTTTCTATGTAGCCTGAAAATTCCTAGAGAGGAAGAACTCTAGGTCTTATAGCCTGTGCCTCAGTTACCAGCAATGGTTTTTTGGGACAGGGTCTCACTATGTAGTTGAGACTGACCTGGAACTCACTATGTAGCCCAGGCTGGTCTCGAACTCACAGTGATCCTCCTGCCTCAGCCTCGAGTGCTGGGATTACAGGTGTGCGCCACCACGCCTGGCCCGGCAATAAGTGTTTGACAAAGGTAACATAAGGGAGCCACCACATTCCCTAGAGAGATCCTGTGAACTAGCCATGACCAAGCCTACCTTTCACTAGTATTTCTTCTAAGTAAATGTATCGCCTGGTGCAGGGTCACCTGCTGTAGGCCAGCTATTCCACAGGGCTCCAAGAAAGCTATGCTTAATTTTATTACTCAGTCTGTGTCTGAGAGTGTCATTTATCTACTGCATAATGAAACAGATGCATGTGTAGGTGATGTCTCCCTTTCAGAGTCAAAGAAACTAAAAACGTCTACAGGTTATTTACACAGAATCATCAGGCAGGTCTGTGGTGGAGCAGAGGAGGGACCAACTAAACCGATTCTCCATCTCCCCATTTCATGATTCTGTCCACCCCTGTGGTGAGTCCACCCTTAGGAAATGTACTGATAGTGATCTTCAGAAGAACTACATTCTTGACTGACCAGAAAAATTATAGAACAACATCCCCCTAGATTTTACCTTCACACAAAAAGAAAATTGTGACATCATTGTGGGAACTCAGAACTTCTCTTATGTGTATATTTAGAACTCTCTGGATTTTCCCAAGAGTAGTCAGTTGTAACACCTTCTATTTAATCAGCATGGTAACTGGGTTTGTTCTAGAATCTAGAGAACAAAGTGAAAAATCAATAACTTTGTACAGGCACATTTCCTTGATAAGAAACCAGAAACAATTTCCAGAACCTTCCTTTCCTTTGTGGTATGAATTGTCACAAATGCTGTATGTGTGACTAGAGGATAAGGGGGCCCACCCAAAGTTAAAATCTGCCAAATACTTTGTAGAAATACTATTTGTTTTTCCAGGGTATCTATCCCCTGTTGCAGTGCCACCATCTACATTTCTGCCAGCTTTGGTCTGGGGTTTCAGGTGCGTGCCTTGGAAAATGGAGGCGGGGCGGGCTTGCCCAAGCAAGGATCAGGACTTTACTGCAGGGCAAAGTCCACCACCATGCTCGAATAAAAAGTTCAAACGGTTCCGTTCGCTTTGGTTCTGACAAGGCAGCAGACAAGCCAGAATCTTGAAATACAAACAACCGTCTCCAAGAGCGCCCTTGACCCCAAATCCCAACCGTACTGGTCGTTGCCCCCTTTAACAGCTGCTCCGCGGGACTAACTTTCGAACAGGTCCGGACGCCCCTCCTTGACCTCTGATTGGTTGCGCGCAGCGCAGGAGGGCGCGACGGTCAGCTCAGAACGGTTGGCGGCGCTTCGTGATTGGCGTTCAAGGCGCCTATATAAAGAGCGGGGTGGCTGCACTGCCCTCAGTTTGGCGACCGGACTCGAGCCTGGGCGCTAGCTAGTCCTGAGTTAGAGAGTGGGCGGGCAACGCGCGTCAGAGTCGTTTTTCTTCGGAGCCTTCTGCAGTCTAGAATACACGCCAGCGGCGGACTTGTCTACGCCCTCCACCCCGTTCCCTTTGGGGCCTCCGAACGTTAGTCGGTGCTCGTCCGCGTCACCCCGGCGCCAGCCCGGCGAAAGGGAGGCACGATGGAGTTCAAGCTGGAGGCTCACCGCATTGTCAGCATCTCGCTCGGCAAGATCTATAACTCGCGAGTCCAGCGCGGCGGCATCAAGCTGCACAAGAACCTCCTGGTCTCACTGGTACTGCGCAGCGCCCGCCAGGTCTACCTGAGTGACCCGTGCCCCGGCCTCTACCTGGC